ATAAATCAATAAATAACTGCATGAACGCATGTTTAAAGAATTATTGCTGCGTCGGCTGCATTAACACAATAACACAATACATGTGGAATTGACAAAAAAAAAAGCTACTACATAAATCTTAATATCTATACTGGAATGTTTTTAGTGAAAATTCTAGCTGCCTTCCATCTCTAGCTGGATGTCTTCTCTAAATCTTTAACATTGTGCACATTTGTATCCTTCCTCAGATACCTGGTTAGGGTCTAACAAACCAACATGTTTTTCAATAAATATTCATGTTGTGTTTTACTAAGCCTAAAGACACACTTTCCCACATTAACAGAGGCACTATGTAAACCATAAATGAATGCAGCTCAGAGATTAAAGCAGACTGTGCTGTGTCAATGTGTATCTGTGACAGGTGTGAACTGACAACATATCAAATAAATACAGAAGCTAAGCTGTTTAAACAGGCTGTACATTTGATCTCAGCTGTCAGCGCCAATGGATTTTTTTTTTTTGTTTTTTTGAGTTTATATTTAATAGAGATTTTGTAGCATTGATGGTGAGGCGTAACAAGAGTTAAAGCACAGATTAAGCTAAAGAAAGAGCTGGTGGAAGCAGTGGTGTTGATTTTGGTCCTTCAAGGACCAATATGTTGCATGTTTTAGATGTTTCTCTGCTCCAACATGCTTGCTTTGAATGGGTAATTCATTTTTCAACTCGTTTAATTTTTTCTGTTCTCTATTACATTTTCATAAGTATTACCTCAAATTATTTGCAACGGAACTGCCAAATATATAATAAGGTCTGGACTTACAGACTAACCATTTAGGTGGTTTTCATTCTTCTCTGGCTCAGATTCTGACTCCAACATGTAAGGCTGGATGGACAAGTCTACCTTTGTTGACGTCTTTTAATTAATTTGTAAATAAAACATTTCTGCACAGCTATATAGTCAAAAAAACTATCAAACTAGAGGGGGGYGGGGTGTGAAGTGCACTGTTTAAATTTAAAGAGACAGCCTCAAAACGAGTTGATCTGAGACACACCTCAGAAAGGGGTGAAAGAGGGACTTGTGGAGTTACAATAAGGAGGAATTCAGACCAAAGTATTGCAGTTCCACTTTATACAGACCCCAAATAAATGATTTAAATGTGAAAAAGAAATATTTAAAACCAGAAGTCTCCTTTAAATAGACGTCTTGATCATGCAGTAAAAAATAAAATAAACTACAAGCAGTTAATTGCTCCATTTTTTTCGATTAAATAGTTTTGTGTGTTGCAACAGACAACCTGCTGTGCTAGGTGCTTAGCAACAACAAACTGCAATATCCTAAAGCTTACATTAAACTCGTCTGGTTTACTTAAGTGTTTATGGGTGTGACAGAGAAAAGCACATCCCTCATAAATGTCACCACACTGAAATACTTTACGTCCTAAATATGGCTTAAAATGGCAATGAGATCAGTTCCATTGTGTCTTTGCACAGCATTTTCTGAGGGCTTCATTTAAAAGATTTTAAAGGCAAGAGTTCATCAAACAGCTTTATTCGTTCCAGCTCATTTTTGACTCAATCAGTGATAGCACTTTTGAAACTGTCTCAATCCATTTCTTTTATTTTAGGTTTTGAAAAATACACATGAAGCCATATGTACATGTTTTGGTTTGCTCAGCTATGCTGGTTGCAAGATTTCGTAAAAGAAAACGTGACATAAATAAATATTATACCTTTTTGGTTTATGCTTATCCTTTATAAAAATGTTTCAAATGGGTTATATGTCTGATTTGCATTTCTGGATGGGAAGAATGCTGCTGTAAAGTGATGATGAATCGCACTGACATTATATTATGGCATGAATTGCTTCACAGTTTAGGGGTCTAAAAAGCAAAAAAATTAAGTATTTTCTGTAAAGTGCTATTTTTTTACACATCATAAAATGGGTTTACAATCATTTGTTTTCCTTATCGACTTTATCATTTGAAACAAGATCTAAAAATATCAAATTGTCAAATAGAACAACAAACTCAATGCAGGAATTCTAATGTAGCATAGATACATTTTATGTAATATTTCTGGCCTTTGTGTAGACCTAGAACAAGGGTTATTGAAAGATGCATAAAGAGATTGGAGGAAAAAATGGACAAATACATGAACAAAACCACAAACACACAACTTAGGTGGATTTACAGTACTGTAATTAACAGCCAGTGATTCATTGATTAAAACCGTTGTGTTCTTGGCCCGGTGCAAAGGCCTGAGTCAAACAAAAGCAAAGTGCTGAGTGCCTTTTTGGAAACTCGACATTCGTTCCAGTCATTGTCAGACACACATTTATATGTCAGATTTGCTCTAATCAATGCTAAGAGCATCAATGTTAATTATAAAACCTGTATTTGGAAATCATTACGGATGCACAGCATTTAAAAACCCGGAGCAGGCGAGCCTGCCGCTGTTTCTGTGAGTCAGTCTGTCACACTCCACAGCAGCCTGACTCAGGTAGTGACTGGAGATAGCTTGGGCAGATTAAGGTCCCTACACTTACCACAGCTGTGGCAGTATAATCTGAGTTTCACTTAGCAGAACCTAGTGGTCAGATGGGMACGGGCGTCGGATTACAATGATGGCTGGTCCAGATAAATCCCCCTGGGCTTTGGGGAAATGTGACGCAYGGCAAGCCGAGAAAGGATAAGGCTTTGTGTGAGGCTAAAATCTCTCAAAGCAAACATCTGCATTTTCTATTCCTTATATTTTAACAACATGTGTAGATCAAAACGTCCTTGTGCTCAGATTTTTGATGTGTGTTGCAGCAGAGCACATGATCATCAGTTCAAACTCCCCCTCCAGTGACCAACAGCTTTTCACACAGAGGGGAATTATTAATGGACTTCCTTTTTTGCTCAATGAGTCAGAATCAAAACACAAACAGCAAAACAACAAAAAAGAACAACAGCAGTGTCAGCAGCAGATGCAATCAAAAACTATTGGGGTGAGTTTACAGCAAAGTAAAAGGATCAAACAAATGAGAATGTAGGTCAGTTTCAGCAGGCTGAGCAGTGCTGCGACAGATGCCTGAGCAGAGGTCAAGAGAGAAAAGGCCACACTGAAAATGCTTTATGGTTGTGAGGCTGACAAGGCAGTCAAAACATTAGGATTTAAACTAAACATGAACGAGACACAGACTTGTTTTTTATCATTGGTTAAAAGAGGACTATAAAAAACACTCAAATATGGGGGGAAAATGAAAATTTGAGGCTTATTATTATTATTTTTATTTGAGGCTTTTTTGGTGTAAAAAAAGGAAGAGAAAGAAATCAGATTATACATATTCTGGGGATTATTTTACCACACGTTATTTTTACTGTATTATTAGCAGTTATGTGATGAGTCTCAATTAGTAGGTAAAGTTTCTGAAGTATTTTGGACACTACCACCCACTCTAAACACTCACTTAAAAGCATTATTATTTTTATTTTATTATTATTTCCATTATTATTTCGCGCGTGCGCTATGATGCAGTTTACTTGGCATCTGAAAATACATTTCCTCAAAGGTATTTTTAATCTGAAAAAAGCTTCTCTGAGTGAGAAGTAATGTTGAGAGCTCAGCAGACAGTTAAGTTTCACTTTCAATTTCACCCGAGATCCTGCAGGAGTCATGGGCGTGGTGTGTGGGGAGGGGGAGAGGGGGGTGCGCTATGCCATGAGGAAGTTCAGCTTAAAGACACTACCCAGGGGCGTTTCTGGGGTCGGATTTATAAAACTGGCGTACGCACAATTTGAGCCCAGAAACTTGCGTACACCACTTTTTACGCCAAG